TTGGAACCCTGAATAAACTGGCACTGCTTGATCACATTGATCATGTCCATGGTGTCCGAGACCCCCGCGTCGACACCTGCATGTGCAGGGAGGTTGGACTAGATGACCTCTAGAGGTCCCTTCCAACCTTAAGCATTCTGTGATTCTATAATTCTATGATTGAGGCCCATGTGAACTTCTGAGGGTGAGTGGACTCAGAACATGTGTGATCTCCTGTGGACAACCTGAGTTAAGTGACGTGAAGCAAGCACTTCTTCCATGTGATGCCTGTGCTCATATCTATGGGCAGCAGCTATATAGGTCTCATGGATATAGCATATGAATGTGTGTGTCTTGGCAGTGTAGACATTTGTGTATCTCTCATTATTTACAGAAAAAGAAGAACTAAGATCACTCACAAATTTAACATTATCAAGACATAAAAGGTTGCAGATGGAAGACTTCATAGGGATCATAAAAATAACTTCAAGAAAAAAAACTGATAGGAAGGATTTTTGAAACAGATAATTAACTTCAAATAAAGCTAACTTGAAGGACATTCAAGTGGTATTGTGGTACCACAATACTCGGTGCTATTCAATACTACTGAAGGACAAATTTCTATAAAAGCATTCTTAGTAATGTAGAATTAGTTCACTTCTCTTTTCACTCAGAACAAAATGGCTTTCTTTGATTATCCTCCCACACGTTTTTTTAAAATAAGCCCATGAGTTATAAAGCTTCTAAATACCTAGACAAGATATTCTTAAAGGTCATAGCAACATCTAAAAATATCACCTTAACATTTTTTAGTGTTATAGTAGCTTAAAATATTACTTTGAAATAGTGAAATAACATAATTAAAATTATCAAGAGAGAAACCTGCTAAATAAGCATAACCTTACAGCCCTTCCTGTGGATTCTTAGTACCATAAAACTGTGTGGAAAAATGAAAGGTTGATTTTAGTCATCTCAGATTTAAATTGAAAAAAGTCTAAATGTAGCTTAAGGAGGTTTAAAGCAAAAATATCAATGTTCTTCTGGTCTCTACTAGACAGAAAGAAAAAAAAAGTAGCTTCTTTCATTATTCTAAATCCTAGAACTCTTCACATATTTATGGAATACTGTTTTTTGAGGATCTGAAGGAGAAAAAATAGAACATTAGAAGATACCAGCAGGTTACAGTATATGCTTAATTTTCAAACAATATATAGAATATTTGCTTTGGTCTAATATAAACAATGAGATATCTGCAATTCCTCAGCAGAGGAAAGTGAAGCAGATCCATAAGGGCTGTCAAAGACAAAAATCGTCAGGTTGCAGCAGTAGCATATTAGGAATATGTGGAGTTCTCAAACATTGTAAAGATTATATCCAATTGCAGTTAAAGTTTAGGTCAGGATTCTGCTTCTTTTTCACCAAGCTAGATCCAGGTTGGTGCTTTAGGTTTAGCTTGTAGCTCTCTAAGGACTACGGGGCAAACCTCTTCCTTCTGTGGGGTATTCTTCAAGTGAGGATGCACTCTCATACAGCTCAGCTTCTTACAAAATTTCTTCGAAAGCTTCAAATGGCTGAAACATTTTTTTTCAAGTACATATCCATAAGGTTATGAAGTTTACTTGTTACAGGCAGCCCACACACTTACTGTAACACTGACAAGTCCAGGACCTCAAGGAGTTACTGGTGATAGGGAAAATTTTTCCAGACATTGGTGGTTGCTGAAATCCATGAATAGAAAACATATGTTCCTATTTCCCTGAGTGGAAAACATAAAGGAAAGGAATGCTGGAAAGAACGGACAAGTGCAACGTTTCACTGGTACTCTGTGTTAGGATTACACTCTACAGGAGATGCTCTAAAAAATCAAGATTTATCACACTGTTTCTATTACTCTAATCCTACCATATGTAGGGTTTTTAATTGTGGAGATGGCAATGGGCAATATGTTTTTAAAGACAGAGAGTAAATATGATTTTTTTCTCCCTTATGCCAAGAAGATGGAGGAATTTTTAAAAAGCTGTGGGAGCAAGAAAAAGCAGCCTGTGAAAAATGTGACTAGATTTTCATATCATAAGTAATAAACCAAATTTTTACATATTATTATTATTATATGAATTGATTCAGTTCTGTATTTGTTTTAAGCTATTTTTAAATCCCATAAATATGTTAATTATTCATATCTGAGATATGAAAGGAAACAAAAGAAGCTGAAGAAATGTAGGCCTCTTCAGATTGGCTATATGAATATCTCTTTAGAAAGAAATGGCAATTTAGATGTCAGAGCTGAGCAAATATTTAAATCTGAAAGTTAAAAAAAAAGTATATATATGAATCTAGGTATATTCTACATCTACAACGTAAAGGATATTTAGGATTTAAAATTTATGCATGACCATAGCTTTGTGAATAGGACAAAGATTGGACACTGGAAACATATATATTTCATCCTGTATTGGTAGCATTCATCTTGGATTACGCTGAGCAGCAGAGGTGTCATACTGAACTAGAGACATGTTAGCTTTGACCATGGCAAAGACATTGCTATAATAGCAGTATAATAGCAATATAATTGTTATTATGTATTGTTCCCATGAACTTAACAATGAATAGAAATCAATTTTGGAATATTTTTTGATTGTGAGGCATGCATATGAAAAGTCATAAAAAATCTTAGCGCTCAAGTCACTGTAATGATTAGATCAGCCATTACACATGGATCAAATCAGAACACTTCCCTCCAAATACTTGCAAGTGCTGGGAGATTAGATCCATGTAATTGAATAGATCCATGTAATTGAATTTAGCCCACTGCTATGGTAAAGAACCAAAATCAAGAGTCTCTTCAGTACAGAAATCATGTTCCAAAGAGACCAATTATTCCAAATCTATAGACTAGTCTAGGGTTCATAGAAGATGATCACCTTACCAACAAATATATCAAAATATAATAGAAAACCCGAACAATGATTTAAAGCTGCAGAATTCTTGTTTTTGTTTGTTTGTTTGTTTCCTTTAATAATTAAAAAAAAGACTTTTTGTATGAGACTTTTTTTTAAATACACAGGAATGCACAGATGCTTACTCATATCATCAGATTATATGCCATCCTGATCTTTTTCTTTATTTGACTTTGAGAATTAGTTTATTTCATGTATATTGATTTCTTTTCTATTTTTTTTAATTGACTGACTATAAGACTAAAAAAAACCTCATTGTAGAATGTAAAAATTATTAACTGATTCATTCAAGTTGATTCATTTCTTTTCTTTGACTTCTCTTCTTGTTTTATACTCTAAGCATATTTGTTATGTTAGACATATTCTGTTACACAGCAAACAGCTATGTGTGCTGTGTAACATTTATTATTGATTCCATCTGTTTTTTTGAAATTGTGGATGGTCCAAATGTTAGTTAAAATCTGTTTATTATCAACAAACTGGTTTTATGAAGACACAAGGATGTGTTTTCTTTGTTAAATATTTCAAATGATGTCTTGGAATGCATGAAACAGGTAAAAATATATTTATTAAGGCAAAAAGAATAGTAATGATAACAGCAGCCACATTTTTATTATAACACTGTGATGTTACCTCTATCGATGTGGTTGAGGCCACTGTCAGTGCTCAGTAACAGAAAGTGAGAAAGATGCATACGATTGAAAAATCATTATACATAAGACCATGAGATAATACAACCATTTGGTAAATGGTCTTACTATAAAAGCACACTCATAAACAATCTTAAACACTCTTATGATTATCTTTGTAGTTGAAATCATTTAAATTGAAAAAATCTGTTGGTCACATAAATGTCATTATTTCCATCTGCAAAATTCAGCTACCAAATCAGAATTTGTCAGCATGAACATGATCACTGCTGTGTGATGGAGAGTGAGCTTTGGATTTACCAAAGAGTATTAAGGCTGGAAACACTGCCTTGCAATTTCTATGTAGAAGAGTGGTTTATTAAGGTTACTCACATTACAACAAAGATTTTTGTTATAGAAACTATTGCTTTTGAAAATTCAGGAACGGGGCCATTCCTAAGGTGCAGCAAAGACAGAGCTCATATTTGAAGGGTTTGAGTGTACTTCACCTAATCATTTGCCTTCCAATGGTATTTTAAAGATTTTGCCAGTGCTGGATCTTAGTGGTTATCAAGAAATGCTCTGTGGCTTGTGGTAAGTGCGGCAGTGAGTGTGGTGGAGTGGGCATCCAAAATAATGCATTATGACCTGGAATATTGAGGACCCTGGGCATGGTGATGATCCCTCCTTGTCTTACATCTCTATAATGAAGCAGAAAAGTCAGGATCTTCATTACTAATATGGCTCAGGACTGTAACGAAAGGCTCCTTTTATCGAAACAGACTTTCTGATCCTATTATGTTTTGCAGCACAATAGTATGCCAAGCAATTTCTATGCTGTCAATAAAAAGACCAGCTGTTGACCTTTTGAAATAACAATGAGAGAAATGTAGTACATTTATTTTAATTGGTAAAACATGGAGGGAAAATATTCAGATCAATCAAAAATTTATTATTGTTTGGTCTTGATAGTGAGAACACACAAAAAAATGAAATTGAGTGAAATAGTTTATACAGAAGAAATACAAGTTATTGTTTCACAGTCTTTATTAAAATTAGATTTAGATACATTTAACATTGAGGTATCCTTTCCAAAACAAAACAAAACAAAAAAGGATTTTTTTTTCGGCTTATGTATTTTGACAGAAAAACATTTTTTCCACAGGAAACAATTAAATACAATAAAGAACACTTCAATCAATTCAAATCAGCATTTTATCTCAAGAAGAATTTTCATCTGACAATTTTCACCCATTCTAATCAAAGTCTAACTTCTGGGACTACACCAGTAGAAAGGAGGGAAACACGAAGTTAATCTGTTCCTGACAGATTCTTCAGCAGAGACACAGACACATTGTAATGGTTTCTTCAGTTACCTTAGGCGATACTTAAGTTTTATGGAACTTTTAGTAGAAGATATTAGGTGTTAGGAAAGGATACATTTTGCAGAGATACTTACAAAGGGTCTTGTGCAAAGGTACAGAGTGGAAAGGAGCAAGTCAAAGGAGATCCAAGTCTGTGATCAGGCTAAGGGGGGATATCGCAGTAATAGGTTAAGTAAGTGGCTTATGTGCTGAGCAATAACATTCTGAAGAACATCCTGCCATGATACTTCCAGCCAAATGTCAATAACCTATTTAAGTATATGCCAGTTCAGATCAGAATGACGATTCAGCTATTCCTCTAGGTTAAGTTTTCATTCCCTGATACCACATTGTCCCATTCACAGTAGCTGAGACCAGGTAAAGGAAGATTTGGAAGAAATAACCTCATTCAACACCACAGTTGTAGCTATACTCTCGACAGGAACAGTTGTGAGGTCATGTCAAGAAGATGTTCATGACTGTCTTTGCTAACACCAGAGAAACTTATGACTGAGAAGCTACAAATTGCCTTCTTGCCCCTGAACATGCCTCTTTCCTGGAAGAGTCCCAGGCAGCTGCTCTGCTGCCTGAGGGAGGTAGGTGATATCTGAAGGAGAGATAGCTAAAGTGGGATGGCTGTGGCTGTGCCCAGGCTGTGCACACTCCAGGTCTCCTGCCTTCTCCTACAGGCACAGCTAAAGGCAAAGCCAGTTGGTTGGTAATGAAAAAAACACTTAAAAAAAAGAAAAAAGAAAAAAACATCTTCCAAACAGCTTTCGTCAGTGAACTCCAGGATTTACCTATTGAATCTATGACTGAGTCAATTAAAAACAAACCCTGTTTGTTTCTATGGGAACATTTTATACAGCCTATTGGTGTTCTCAGTGATCATTTTAAGGGGAAAAAAAAAAAGAAAAATTACTATTAAGCAGTGCAAATACTTTTCTCTTGGTTCATTGTGAAAGGTGCTAATTTCCTGCTTGCCATGAATAACTTCTTATTAATACACAAATGTCAGAAATAGAACTGACCTTTCTCCTTTTTCAATAGAGCATTTTTTACAAGAAAAATGGCAATTTGACATAATCTAAATATTCCATGGAAAAACATTTTGATGAAATATATCATGACTTGTCCATAGAATCAACAAGGTTGGAAGCAACCTCTAGAGATCATCTAGTCCAACCCCGATGCATATGAAGCATCATTCATCAGGAAGATCATTTATGTGATCTTTTTGACAGTTTCCCGCTCTGTTTGGTTCCTTCTTTCTCTGTTCTGAAAGGCTGGAATAATAAGAAAATATGCATGTGCCCAAGTCAACCAGCTCACTGTCCGGCCAAATTTCTGAGAAGCGGGCATGTTGGATTGTCCATTTCCTCAAGTGGAAATCATGTGTTTTTTGTTTTTAATTACTGAGTTTTAGAATTCATCTCTAGCTTTTTATTCAAAAAGGGATTTCAAGTACCTGCTTATTACCTATCATGTTTACTGTGGATCTAAGGGCCAAAGAAAAAGAAATCAGACAGACATTAAATAAAAATTTTAAAGTGTAGTGAGATAGGTTGAATGTATATAGAAAGACTTCTACTAAGGACAAGACCTAACCACTACTCTTCTTATGCTGAAGTGGATATTTTGGTTATTTATTTTCTATTTAATAGTAATTTCAATGTAATAATTGCTCTAATGGCAAGAGGCCATTAGAGGCACTTGTCTTCCAGCTCTTTCAGCTCCTTTTTTATTATTATTATTTTTTTCTTTTTTCCTCTGTTTTTTTTTTTCCCTTTTTTTTTTTCTCCTAACCATATACTTATTTTGTGATCAGGAATGATATTTTGATTGTAGGACTAAATTTTTGTTATGGTCATTCACTAAAACGACAGTAGCACCTTTCTATTTCCTTTTGTTACAGATATTTGTCCATTTCTTCATCAAAATCTTGTTTGAAGGGCTAAGAGCTAGAACAAAAAATAAATAAAGATAAAAATAAAAAAAAAACACAAAGCCTTTCTTCGGTTCGAGAGAGAGAAATTACACTTACAAAGGCAAGAGCAATGAACACAGCTGCTTCTGTTGCTGACTCACTGGTCAGCAAATCTTGTAAAATGAGAACTGAGGGTGTTAACAGATTATTTGGTTGCTTGCTTTTTCTTCTATAGTGATAAACAGAAGGTTAGCAGCAGTAAATTGGGTAAGAGAAAATGAAAGGGGATAAAAGGTGAAAAGTGAGAAACAACTTTAAGATCCTTCTAAGAGCACATTTAAAAGATTTTTTCCATTGCAGATAACTGGACAGGAAATACTTAAAAATGGTAGTTTTCTGTTTCTGTAGTGATTATGTTGGTGAAGAATAAATGGTGTTTTTTCCTCAAGAAATATGAAATCAGTATATTTGTAAGGTTTCTCTATCAATAAGGTAAGGCTTTTCTACAGAAGTCAGATTTTAGTTACCTCTATCATACTTAAGGCAAAGAAAAACATAAAAAAGAAAGAAAAGAAAAGCAAGAAATCAAGCAGACAAATAAAAAGTAGTCTTTAAAAGGCATCTGCCCAAGTGACAACCTTGTCCAGACAAGGACTGTACCACTGTGTTATTCTGACCCAAGATAGGCTATTTTCAGGGCCATAAAAAGGTATTCCTAGCACCTCTATTCTTCTCCCTGGTTCACTGCGGATGCAAGTGCCATGTTAGACTTGCTCAGATTCTGTTCTTGAGAAAGTAACAGAGATAGAAACTTAATCCTATATACAAAAAGGTGTAAAATCCCTACAACGGTACAGCCCATAGCTAAAAGAGAGAGAACTCATTACCAGGAGGTTTTTACGTCTGCACTGTGGCTAAATGCTGCTCTACCTGACCTCACAGGCTAGAGAAAAGTAAAATGTAAGAAGCATCAGCTGTTCGAAGCCCAGGACAAATAAAAATGCCACAAACTGTGAGAGCTGAATATAAATTACTCAGAGAAAGATCATACAGATTGAATATTTAAGTTCAAAGCCAATCTAATTTAGTATCCCTAGCTTGTTCTCTTAATTATCCTAAATCCAAAGCTCTTCCAATAAAACTAGAGTGTCAGAAAAGATAACGAGCAAACTAATGCAATTTCCTCACAGATGACCAATTCCATTGACTTTTCTGGGATTAGTCTTGGCCAATAAATAAATAAATAAATAGGATGGCAGCTGAATTCACTCTCTCTTCATTCTTCATTCCCATAACTGATTTAGAATTGTGAATAGCCCAGAGCAGAGCACTGAATCTAGTTCAAAAACAGAGCACTGAATCTAGGTTGTCAGTCCTACACAAGTTCAGACTTGTATAGATTGTGATCTGAATTGCATGGCATGATATGGAGCATTTTGCATTTAGTAAAAGTACTAGAGAAATACCAAATTAGCATCAGGTAAGATACAGGCAAAACCAAGAGTTCTGTGCACTTTTGGAGTAAGCTAGTTTAAATCTTGCTTCAAAGAAATGCTTCATCTATTCTTAATCTTAAAAACTTCTTTAAAACCTGACATTCTCAATGGATTTTTGGGCAGTTAGGCATGTGCCTAAGTACTTTGCTGAACTGAAATCTGAAGACATAATCAACATTATAATCTATGTAAAAGATCCCTCATGTTTTTTTTGCTAACTTTGGAACAGGTCCTCTAGCAAGTCTAAAATGAAAGAGAATAAAATCTCATCATCTATCTGATAGCATCTGACTATCATACTGTTGGGTATAATTGACAGTCCAAGATAACTGCAAGTCAAAATCTGAAAGTCAAAATAAGACTGGATTACATAGAGCCAATGGTATAATTCAAACATCCCTACTACCAGTTCAAGAAAACTCTACTTCTGGAAACGTCTTCACTGTCCTGTATGCTTCATCCTGTGTGACAAGTTGGCAGTGTGCTTTGGAAAACTCTGAATATTTTTGATTTAGTCGTTCTTTATTTTTCATATAAAGTATATCATTTGACTGCTGCACTGCACCATAAATAGACATGTTTTTCTTCTCTTCTCTTAATCACACAGCTCCCTTCAACTACAGTTGAAAAAAGAGTCAGCACTCACATCCTAATATGTCCTTTCTCATGGCTTGTGTTGTTTTTGCTTGGGACAGTTAAGATTATATCCAAGGAAAAATGTTTATCTGTCCTTGAGAGAAAGGAGATACTTGATTATCTCACTTCTGTAAAGCCTCATAATGATTGCATTCTACTGTGATGCTTGAATGCAAAGTATTAAACACAAGAAGTTGTTAGAAGAGACTAGCAGAAAAAGCAAAAAATTGACACAGTTTTCTTAGGGAAAAAAACAGAGGAAACATTAACTGGGGAATGTCCCAACTCAGATTAAGCTTTTTAGGTTTTGGAAAAGCAAGGTGAGAAGGAATCCTTGATCTTTGTTGGGTCTTTGGAAGGGTGTCCAGGAAGCTAAAAAATTGGACCAAATAAACACAGAAAAAAAACAGATTTTTTTTTTTTTCTGGAGATGCAAACCTGCCTTCTTGCATCAAAAATGTGGTTACCCTGGCAAACAGGAACTTATACATGCTCAATAGACTAGATCAAGAGTATTTAGCAAACATTAGCATCTTTGAAGTCATAGTGCCTTGCTGTGCACATTATATCAACTATACTATATCACACTATATCAGAATAATCTTCATTTTGAAGATGCTTGTGTCATTGCAAACTTTAGTAAGCAGAATTTTCTTAGATACCATTGCTAGAGATGTCATCCCCCACTGGTCACCCAACATTATCACAGGATGTTAGACCAAATGCCAAGTCTTTGTCTAGTGAGACCTCTGTGTGCACACTAGAGTACTGCTGAGATTCTTGGTCATCTACATCTTCATGCACCTGATCACCATGAAAACTGTTCTTATATCTCTAAATTGTATTCTCTTTTCTACTGCGGCTGTGCAGAAATAGCTACCTTCTGTGTCTCTCACTTCTGGTAGGTGAGAAGTAATTTGCCTTTGCTAGTATAATGATGACACAAAAATCTATTATCCTGTCTTCCTATTAGTGCAATTTTAAAGCTTTTTTTTTCCTTCATGCATTCTGTAACTAGGATTTTGTTCTTGTCATTGTTTTTACGATTCTTTTCCATTTTCTTTTGATTATCGCCCTCGTATAAATACTTCACCCTCACAAGCCTGCAAATCCCTTTCACATGTATATCTGCAGAATTCGTGCTGGATGGACATCAAAGGTACTGCTTGGCAGGTTGCCCTTCTTTAAATTTTTTGAAATTTCTGGAGTATTATTAAGCTAGCTAAACTTCTGGGACACTTTCTGCCTAAATTAAAGTATATTTTTAAAAACTGTGCAAGGATTCTCAGTGGATTTTGGATTATGTTCAAATACAGACCCTCCTTAATGGAATCATGGGAATGAATGTGGCTGTTCTCAAGCTGTCTATGGCATTAAGGATTTAACTTTGGAAATCACACCATCCTCATCAGCTACAACTGAATCTGGGTTCTGATATATGACAAACCATTCCAAATGGCACAACTCAAATAAACTAAGACAAATCAATGCAAGATCTAAAGACGTTATTTTTTTTTAATCATGTGTTCTTGACATTTCCACAAAACTCTCTTTGACATTTTATTTTCTGAACTTCAGAAGTGATGAATAATGACTCTTTTTCCTTTTTTTTTTTTTTTTTTTTTTTGTATTCTGCGGATATAAAACTTGGAGAATACAGTGGGAAGTTGGTATGCAGATAGCTGATAACTTTTAGGAATATCACTTGAAGTTCTGTGATTTCTTGTCTTTCTCCCAACAAGGTGATTGAATGGAGGTAAAGGAATTTCTTAAAAGATGTCAGTGGCAATTTTGCCAGAACCTACTTGTGGCTAAAGTGTTCTAGATGAACACTAATGTCTGTTGGTTAAAGTCAGAGGTTTGATAATGCAGGATTTGGAAATAAATCTTTCAGAGATACTGCCTTTCTGTTAGCATGTATAAGTTTTGTCATCCTACTTGTCTCATTTGCTAAAAGCTTAGGATATCGTATGACAGCCTCAAAGCAGTCATATGAAAGCTCATTAAGTGAACTTTATCTGTCCCACGATGATCAAGCTTGATGGTACACATAGACATATGAATTTCCTTTTCAAAAGACTCAGATTAGGGCTTTCCATTGTATAGTATCTGAGAAATTAAAAAATAAATGGACAAACTGTAAATGGAATCCCATCTGACCATCTGCAGTTGAAATGTCATTGAAGTAAAATCTCATATTGCTTGAGAAAACTGCAGGGGAAAAAAAAATTCTTCAGTCTACTAAATGAACTAACAACGCTCTGCTGTCCTCTTGTATATTTTACATCTATTTCCTTGGGATCTGAGTAGTAAAAATCAGATGCACAAGGATTTTAAACATCAAAAATATTATTTCAAGCTCAATCTTAGTATATGGACTTTCATCCTTATGCTTTTTAGACACTTCAGAAGAATAAATCCAACAGAAGAGCAGGTCTGTGAGGCCACCACACCTCTGTTTACCCAAATTATCCCCATTTTCTGGCAAGGAATCTGCACCACAAACAGAAGGAGTAACTCAACAATGTCAAAAAATCTGTTTGTGAACAGGCTGTTTCACACTTTAGACGCAGTGATATTATTCTTCTACAACAGTTCTTTAGTTCCATGTCAATGGAATGGACTAGGACTGAGTACACTGGCTTTAGAAAAACTGAAACATGCTCTGGACCATCAGTTTTCACAAGCTGCTGGAGTTCATAACAGGGTAAGGATTCCTAGGGATGCACAGCAGATGGCAGATTAAGGTCCTTTGACATATGCTCTACAAGAATAAATCTAATAAAAAGCAGTTAAGATTCTTGCTATAAAATGGATTCTTTCTCTTTCTTTGAAAACATGTCTTGAATTATACAAGTACTCCATTTTACCTAACCCTTACAATTCTGCTTACATTTCTTGTGAAGTATACTACTCTGACTCATGTCACTGAACTAATGCATACATATATTGTTTTCATTTTATGTAGCTCTGTATTACATAATTGCACCTATTTACCTTATTTTCCAGACCTATTTTTGAGCAGTTATTCAATAATTTTGTGAAGCTATGTAATATTTGCTAGGATTTTCAGAATTCCCCCTTCAGCAGCATTATGGGACATATTTTTTTTCTTCTGATTTTATTCATATTAAAAAAAAAATGTAAGGCAGCTGTTGATCCTGGGATATTGATGGGGTGCATATTGATAGCATGAAAATGGGGTGCATTAAGTTCCACAGGGAGGAAAATTTTCTGTTATTTTCTTAACACTCTAACTTCCAGAATAACATGAGATGTCTACCATAACAAAATACAGAGTCTCAGTTTCAGGAGAAATAAGAAAATTTCTGAATATTTATTTTAACCTCAGCTCTTAAGGTGTATTTGTAAAAATAAGAATGGAATAAGTGAAACATAGACCTGGGACTAGAAAGAATCTCAGAAGGGACTTTTAGTCATTCTTGCTTCAGCAATGCAGTGTCAGTCTGACCTTCCTCCTAGAAATTAGGAGGAAAAGGAAAAAAAGATATTTTTACAAGCCTCTTTATCTACAGTGATTTATCCTAGACTGAGATTGCCAAGGAAGGTACAGATGTTGCTGAATTCAGCTTTAAACAAAATTATTTCAATAAGTAACAGAGTAATGTTTGTTTTGATATAGAAGATTTTTTAAGTGCTCTGGCTGAAAACAACTTTATATTGATATGAAAAGTGTGACAGGTCTAGATTTAATTCTGCTGGTGAGACAGCTGCTCCCAAGATAGAAGCAGATTAAGAAAGTACAAGAAAAAAATCTGACAGATGCTAGATAGTCCCAAAGCTGACAACCCCTTTTCAAGTACCTGGTCATCCTTGTCCAGGAATGCATCTAGTTGTGGTCCTCTTCATCCCAACCAGACTAGCTGCCATAAATGAAATTATGCTACCTTATAAACACAGTAGGCTTCATTGGAAGTCACAAGAAGTGCTGTCCAAACTGGGGCCAGCTTTGCATTAGGTATACAGGCTTAGTGAATTCTGCTTCCCAGTCCTTTTGTCACATGGCTTTCCCTCCCTATTGCCTTTGGGAGTGATCATCTGTCTACCACTAAAGCACAGGACTCCAGCATACCTACTGCTGTAAATGCAGGCCATGTTCAGGCAATGTTGAGGCAACTTGGCATGTTCGGGCAACATGCCCGCACACAAGACAAGGTGTAATATAGCGCTGGGAGAGGAGTGGAAGGAGAGAGGACTCAAGGGAAGCCTTCCAGGACTTCTCATTTTCTCTCTTCTTCGCAGAGGGCTCCAGGCACAGAGGCATCCATTATCCAGCCATCAGCCTCTGTTCATTAACAGGATCCTGAGTGTTTCATGTGAGATGTCAGAGGCAAGTGGCATTTCATACAATCACAGAATGGTTGGGTCTGGGACCTCTGGAGATGATCCAGTTCAATTTCCTGCATAAACATGGTCAGCAGCAACAGATTGCCCAGGACCCTATCCAGGTAGGTTTCGAGTATCTTTCAGGACAGAGATTCCACAGCCTCTCTGGACAACCTGTTTCAGTGTTTTTAGTGGCTGACAAGTGCTAAGTTCTCAGTTGCTCCATATTTGTCAGATTATTTAGCAGAAGCTGGAGGAACTGAAAGAAGGCAGCTTTTCTCTCTAGTGACTGCTGTTTTTGCATAAGCGTTTCTAATAATTCTAATTGTCTGCAGGCAAATATATCTGCTATGTATCTGGCTTCTTCAGTAAGTTCCCCTAACCTGTTACTTCTGTGTAGTGATCAATCTTCTCCACTAGGGACAGGATGTCCATCATAGAATCATAGAATCACAGAATGCTTAAGGTTGGAAGGGACCTCTAGAGGTCATCTAGTCCAACACCCCTGCACACGCAGGGTCACCTAGAGCACGTGGCACAGGACTGCATCCAAGCGGTCATCTCCAGAGAAGAAGACTCCACAACCTCTCTGGGCAGCCTATTCATTTCTAACCTAAGGTTCCCTAAGGAGCCTGTACTACCCCGTCTAAGTATCTAAATCAAGCTAGATGCAAAAGATAATGCTGCTAAAAATATCTGATTTGAATCGGTATTGGAAGGTTCTTCTTCTTGCCTCTCTAGAGGAAGTTCCTGGTAAGAGACACTATGAATGATATTTGAAACATCTTGAGTTTAAATTTATTTAAAAAAGAAAAATATCATTTCCATTTAAAAAGTTTCATTAGGACTATATGTGCCTTCTGTTGTGAGATATGCACAAAAAAATAATCTGTGGGCTATTTAACTGAGGACATACATCAGGTCTCATCGTAAAAATTGCCTCTAGCGAAAAATAAAAAGTGAGAGAAATCTAGAGATTTCTCTATCTCTCTCTAGAGAGAGATTTCTATTTCTTTCTAGAAATAGAGAAATGGTATGAGAGAAACTTTCCCCAGAAGCCTTCTGGGAAGAGAAGCAATGGGGATGTCTCAATGAGCACTGGGCTCCTCTCCAGTGCAGCAGGTGATTCCCAGAAATCTTTTCCCTGTTTTGAGTATTCCTCAGTGCTTGCCCAAACCTCCAATTGATTGTTGCTGCTTATGACATTGTTAGCATTGATTGGAGCACTGTGATCCAGAGCTGGTGCAGTATGTAAGTGGTTGTTAAGATATGTGCTTGCATATTATTGGATTCTCTTACTCAGCCCCAAAACTACAACCAAGAAGCAGAAGTAGATGGCAAGATTTAGGTGGGCATGGGATTCATAGAGTAGAGGCTGCATGAAAGCAAACACCAGGATGATCTGAACTCACTCCTACTTCACATGAGAATACCATCTGGATACGACATATTTCACACTGACACATTGCCGACATCTCCTACTAAATCTAGGACTCAGCCAAGAAGCATGGAAAATTTGAGGGGTCAGAAAGACAATGTACAGAAGAGAGCTGGTCTCTGTATTCTGTTTCCACAGACACCCATTGGGGAGGCAGGAATTGAGTTTCTGTTCCCTAGAGCGATACGATAACTTACAATAAATAAACCTTTTGTGAAGGTAAATAATTACCAGAGAGAATACCGCTCTGGGTCATCCTAGCTTCCCCAAAATGTCTTCTGTTCTCATCTTATCCTGCCTCCACAAATCTTGCTTCATGACAGTAGAGCGCTCCGGTTTCCAATCCGTATGAGGAATACCCTCACTCTGCACACTATGTAGCCTGTTGGTTAAATAAAGCTTTTGGGGTTGGCTTGAGGGTTGCCACCATCCTAGACTTTTCACCAAGACTGTGTAATGGCACTAATTACCAAGCAACCCACAAGTTACCACTACCTTGGACCAAAGTCACTACAACTTGAGTGAAATGGTCCAAAAGCCACTAGCAATTCAAACTTCACTTAAAATGAAGCTACCTAGGTCCTTTTCTGAATTTCAAATAGCCTATGTATTCCTCAGTAGTTGGTGGGGAAAAGCACAAACCTCACTAACTATGCTCCTGAAACAACTTCAGGTTCCCTCGAAGTCTTGGAAATTTTTCCCTGGATCTAAGGTATATAAGATAGCAAATGAAATCTGCATCTAAAAACCTGGACAAACATCATTTTTTTTTGCATAAATAGTGTGTTGAATACCTGTCAGCATGTCAGTGATCACCAGCTGAGACAGCAGAGTTTCATCTCATATGCATGAATAGAAGTGATGGTTTTTAAATGAACTCAAGATTAGAAGTGATTCTTGCACACTCTGACATTTGCCTTAATTGCCAGCTCAGTGCCAGAAATATCAACACTTTTTTTTAATTGCTTTTTAATTGAACCCAAACTGTCCCTTAAAGGCAGTGGCTCTCATGAGCCATGTGATCCTGTTCTTCTGAGATGTGAAACGCAAGTTAGTCTGAAAGATCAACTCTGTTATGTGTCACAGTTAGATTTCCTTTATCTCCGTTCCTCACTTGTAGATATTCTGGAGATATTCTGTAGGTTTTTTTGCGGGGTCTGGCACCATGGCCATATGACATTGAGGGGGGAAGGTACTTTTAGGATCTGCTTTAGGATCACTTAAGTGTGTGATAACAATAACAATAACTTAAACAACAACACACTTCTTTTTTAGAATGATGCAAACTTTAAACTATTGTGCATTACCAAATGCTGCCAAAGCAATGTGTTAATGCCAGTTAACCTACACAGAACTTTATGAAATGTGTGTTTCCTTACACTGGCTTTAAAACAGTTTTCCATTCTTAATGTTGCCTAATCCTCTCCTTTCCAGAGACTTGCGTTGCTTTGTTGTAGGGTTCTTTACAAAAAAAAAAATAAAAAAGGAGAATTAGGAAAAAAAAATAAGAAAAAGAAAACAAATCAAAGCAAATTGTTAATACATCCCTGTAAATTCTTTCAGAATTACAAATATAATCCAGAAGGAAAGTGTAATTCCCCAGTCAAAGGTATAAGAAATCATTTACATCATTTTATTCCTTGAATTATACCGTGAGGAAATAAAGACTTTGAAAATAGTTATTCCTAATTCGTAACTCCTTCATTCTTTACACCCATTTTATTTGAATTATTAAGAAACTTATTTATGATATGATACATTCTTCAAATACAGATTTGCTTGTGGTGCAATTGCATATTTAGGATTAAACAGGATGCCATTTTATAATATGTCTCTAGCTTTATTTTATTTTATTTCAAATTAGAAATATCTTCATTTTACATCAATATGAAGTCTGAATGGAAAAGAAATCAAAAAGCGATTGGGAGACAGACTTTGTCATGAAAATGGACCAGATGTAAACCAACACTTGTTTCTCTTCATAGTTCTGATGTAAATCTGTACTACAAATGGGGAACATGAACTCTAAGTAGACTGAGGTCACTTGGGCCATTTTAATCAGACTTCTGCTTTAAAAGTATACCAATGCTCTTCAAAACTGAATAGGAATATGACATACTCCTATGAACCTTAACACCTTGATAATTTCTATATGCAGTTGTAATTTATAAGATAAATGGAAGAATAAACCTTGCAGGTTTCTTACTCTACAGGCTTACATTAATTTTCTTAACAATCAGGAATATTATAAAAATATGCCTTTGCAAAAATGTTATGACATATTACACAGTTATTTTGATATATCTATTTTTAAATGTGAGAAGGAAGTATTATATACCAAAGCAAAAAGATATATATATATATATATATATATAGAACAGGAAGCAGTAGTCTAAAATCACTGTATTTTATAAAAATAATAGTATTTGGTCTGGTGCCAGGAAATATGGATAGCCATGTTCCAGTAGCATTCTAATACTAATCACAAGATTAGAAATATCACAGCTGAGGAGGTGGTTTTTAAAAGCAGCAAGAGGAAACAAGATAATCAACATTCACAGTGATGGCAGGAATCTGAATGATGTTTCTGTCACCCATGTGAGCTAGGTGCCTTTCAGAACTGCTGTGTGTTTAGCTTTAATAGCTTTCTCAGCAGATCATAAGCAACTGCTTTATTAATCCAGCAACACAGAGCTAAAACATCTAAATCAAGACTTGCTGTGAACAAAATGACATTTAGATGATGATGATGAGTTGCAATAAACTACTTGTCCAGAGAGTCATTACCATCTGGAGAAGCTGGTTATCAGCAAAATGAGTCCTCACCAATTCTTGGATATTGAAGTCGGTTCATCTTTTGAACAGCTTTGAGAACCAATGCCAGCAACACAGAGCTAAAACATCTAAATCAAGACTTGCTGTGAACAAAATGACATTTAGATGATGATGATGAGTTGCAATAAACTACTTGTCCAGAGAGTCATTACCATCTGGAGAAGCTGGTTATCAGCAAAATGAGTCCTCACCAATTCTTGGATATTGAAGTCGGTTCATCTTTTGAACAGCTTTGAGAACCAATGCCTGAAGAACAGCCTCAGTGAAGGCTACCTGTTATCAGTATTTCCATTTAATGCTGTGGTGAGTCTAAAAGAGAAGACCAAAGTATTACGTTGGCCTTCTACAACGCGTAGGTAGAAGCTAGTTATGAGTCAGCAATGTGCCCTCGTGGCCAAGAAGGCCAATGGGATCGTGGCCTGCATCAGGAGCAGTGTTGCCAGCAGGTTGAGGAAGGTGATGCTTCCCATCTACTCAGCTCTGGTGAGGCTGCACCTGGAGTATTGGGTGCAGTTCTGGGCTCCCCCGTTCAAGAAGGACATTAAACTTCTAGAGAGGGTCCAGTGGAGAGCAACAAAGATGATTAAAGGACTGGAACATCTATCTTATGACAAAAGACTAAGTGAGCAATGTTTGCTTGTGGCTTCTTTAGGACTGAAAATGAGATTGCATTCTGCTAGGTATTCCTGATGCAATTAAACATAGGAAAAGATGGTCTATAAGCACATAGACCTTAGAAAGGAATATAGCAGAAGACAAGCAATGTATCATCAGATATGTTTCAGAAAGAGAATTTACTCTTTATTTAGTGCCTTAGCTTGTGAAAAATTTATACTGAAACTGGATACCAAAGTAAACAAGGTGAAAGGTGCTAGGAAAATCAAGCCATTGAAGAATGAAAACAGAATATTGGTAATTAATATAAGACGCAGATTAAAAAGAAAAACAGTTTACAGAGGGAATACACCAGTCACTCAAGCTGTGCACAGCCAGAGTGCCGGTAAGAATTCAGCAGCTCAGACAGGGAAAGGAAAAATCAAACTGCAGCTGAAAGAACTGGAGATGTGCATTGACAGCACAACTGAGAGCAGACAAACCTAAAGATGGCTATATCTTGCTTTCTCTGTGGGGTCACACAAGGACACTGTCAAGAAAATGAAAGCAAGCAAATTCTTTAAGAAATAAAAAATAAATGTGTGGTTCACAAAACCACAGATAGCCTTGTCTATTGATTATAATCTTGAAACCTTAAAGCTCATTTAAAAATCACAGAAAACAGATTTTCAAATTATATTGAAGATAAAACTGGAATATTCTGAAAACAAGCAGGCAGCATCTTTACAAAAAAAAAAAAAAATCTAAGAATATCCCTCTTCCTTTCATTTATTTTTCCTGAGGACAAAAGGCAGTTTCTCATCAAAAGAATAAATGAAGTAATTTTCCTTTCCCCATTTTTGTAGGAATAGTTGAACAAGAAGAGCAGAGTGACCTAGTCATAGGAAATATTATTTCTGCAGTGACAAAAGAAAATCTTATTCAATTAACATAGCCAAGGGAAATGTGTTAGGATTTCTGCAGGCACTTCTGGCTGATGACAGTGCAGATTTGTGCCATACTATTACTTTCAAAAACTCTCCAATCAGATATTTATCCAGAGAGAGAGAGATGAAAGTCATTTATGGAATGTGTTATATTCCCAGCACAAGAAGGACAGCTTCTAGAGACGGTCCAGCGGAGAGCCACGAAGATGATTAAGGAACTGGAGCATTTGTCGTATCAGGAAAGACTAAGTGAGGTGGGCCTGGTTAGCCTGGAGAACACAAGACTGAAAGGAGATTTGATCAACATGCTCAAGTAACTGAGGGGTGATGGTAGGGAGGATGGGGCCAGGCTCTTCCCTGTGGTAGCTGATGACAGGATGTGGGGTAACGGGTGTAAGCTGAAACACAGGAAGTTCCACCTCCATGTGAGGAAGGACTTCTTTTCTGTGGGGGTAACAGAGCCCTGGAACAGGCTGCTCAAAGCGGTTGTGGAGTCTCCTTCTCTGGAGATCTTCCAAACCCACCTGGGTGTCACCTTGTGCCACGTGCTCTAGGTGTCCCTGCTTGATCAGGGGGATTGAACTAGGTGATCTCTAGAGGTCCCTTCCAACCTTAAGCATTCCATGATTCTGTGATTCTGTGATATAGCGATACATATTGTTAAAATCATTAATATATCTTGCATATCTTTACCGCTATCTAGCTCTACCTATGTACTGTCTTTGAAGTTGACAAGTTTAGAAGCACCTTACAATATCTTGGACAATAATCAGATGATTTTAATGAATGAGTTATTTATATATTTTACTTATTAATCTAGGCTGTCCATATTTAAATATTTCTCTATCAACTCAAATAACGAAGATACAGGAAAATGTCTTGAAGCAATGCACTTAAATATTCTGTGCACCGAAGCATATGGCAAAACTTAATGATAAACTGGGCTAAATCTCTCATCTAAATAGACTTTCTTGTGGACAAGTATTATAATGCCCAGGAAGTCTGCTGCACAATTCCCATCTGACATACAGATTTGCTAAGATATATCTAACTGCACATGACAGTGCAGAAAAGCAGCAAACAACAGAGTACCACTTATATTCTTTTCAGGTTTTTAAGTAGCAAAAAGTAACCAAACAAAGGATGCCCATAAAATGTGTTGCATCATACTGCTTTTAATATTGTGAATACCTCATTCCAGCATTTTGTTTTTGATGCTGTCAGAGTGCTGAGGTAAATGTTGAGTATAAAATATTGTCTTTGATTAACTATTGTATCTATCTGCAGTATTGCAGCCATTTGTAAGAGTTATCTATGAAAAAGAGTTGCGCAATGCACTTGCTCCAGTATTTCAGCGTGTGTAACAGTTTATACACTAATTACATTAGGAAAGGTCGGTCTGAGTGAAAATGTAGCATAGCCAAGCAAGATAGCATCACCCACAGTTTAAGCTGTATGAGCTTGTATGAGCTATGGATGTCAGGCAATGAACATGACAGGAACATTTGTGAGAACTATGTTGAATCTCTGCTGTGATTTAGGAGACAATAGAGAAAGAGTTTATAGATAGGAATATACAGAAGATGTATCACATCCTCGTGTACTTACAGAAACATTTAAAAAGTAAATCGGAGGACCCATTCCACTAGACCCATTCCCACAGCATACACACACACACACACATGCTGCATATTCCCCCGTAGCTGGCCTTGGACAATCTATCCCATAGCTGGTCCTGGATTCTGCTCTTCTCAGGTGCGTCCAACCTAGAGTGACAAAGCCCATAAACACACACACACACACGCACACGATCACTTCATTTGCCAACCAGTTTATTTGGTCTGATATCCTCTAGTGATCACTCACTCACCTGCAAACCCTTTCTCCAGTTGCTGGTACTCCAGACACCCATAAGTTATATGACCCATAGTCCCACTAGAGTAGCTGGCACTCAGACATCCCTTCACACCTCACAAGTGCACAGAAGAGTTTATTATGAAGGAAAATAGTTAGAAATGGGGTTTAATAGGGCAGGACAGACTGAACCAATCAGGTTCAGGGCATGGCCAGGCGACTGCACTGCACAGCAACCTATTTACATGGGAATAGTCTTTATCCTTCTATTTTCCCACATTTGTTCCTCCCCATGCCATTTAGATCCTCCCTTTCTTCAACTTTGGTTCTTCCTCTAAACATCGCATAATAACTTGCACACATTCCTGAAATGCTCTTACCGTGTATCCCACAACATGTCCCATATCCCAGGCAGTGACCTTCCCTGGTCCAAGGGAATAATCCCCCCCCATGTATTCAGTGAGTTCCACACCCAGTCAATAGGCCTTTATTTCCCCAGGGACAGAGCTAAGAGGGATCAGGCAATCTCCATTTTTCTGTCTGGGTTTTTGGAGTCCCTCCACCTGTAGATGTGTCTCTGTACTCCATCCTGTGCATGGAGAGGAGCCTTTAACGGATTGACTGATCTCCAGCAATGGGCCTGAGAGCAGCCATGCCCGAGTATTATTTGGTTTCCCCGCACGCCATGGCTCTTCTGCACTCCTTTATGTGTGTGTGTGCAGGCAAGATTTTTATTATATTACTTAATGCATATAAGATTTTCTAGTAGAAATGAAAGCTACCTGTGATTTACCATTTTCAAAGAGGTTTCTAGGCTGTCAGTTTCTTTCTTGAGATCACAAAATTTTCTTCGTATGGTTCCTTAAGACACATGTCTTTAGGTTTCTTAAGACACAATAAAAAGATACTTATAAAAATGCACATTCTGTTAATTTTGACATGAATAATCACTATTGGTTATTAGTTTTTGCCTGAGTACCTGGAAAAGGAAATGAAAAGTTCTACTGAAATGTGCCCCATCACTGGTTCAACACTTAGATGTTTTTGGACAGGCTTCAAGTCCTCTGAAGCTAAGGAACTTCTTTTCTAGGGTTTGAGAGCAGCCTCTATGTTGTCTTATTTATAGTCTTTCATGCTCTTATCAACATAGCAGCTGACTACTTTTCAAACTCCTGTTACATGATAAACCTAGCTTTCATCAGTTATAATGCTCTTATACCCTCTTTCTACTTGGAAGAAATAGAAGATTATTTTTAATCTACTTTAAAAATGTCTTTTTTTAAGTTTATTATTAGCCATAGAGGTACCACTTGCATAGGAGAATTGATGATTTGAAGCAATTCTTCATTCCAGCAAAAGCTTGTTATATAAATGAAGACTACTACAAAACACAGGGACTAGGTAAATACCTGCTCCATAGATTGTGAATCAGTCTGGGAATAGGCGGCAAAACTGCATTTTGCCACTTCCTAAGTCCACTACCAAAGACCAAGCCGTTGGTGTCTACAGACAGCTGCTGACTGTTTGCTGTCACAGGTTGTGTAAATCATGGGGAAAAGAACTGTACTGTTCTAGAGAAGTCAAAGGATGTGAAGCAGGTCACATTGAGGGAGCATTTCTACAAGAAAATCAAAGAGAGTGCCCTTATAGATATGTGCTAAAACTGGGGTACTTATGCTGACGTGTGATGCTTACCTTATATATTAGCACCAACAATATGAGAAAATCTACATTTGTGTAGCGGGTTTTTGTTTAAAGCTATTTATGAGCTCTAAGAGCTACTTCAGTTTTGCATGCAGCATGTATTTGTTTACTTAGAAATTGTGTGGTGCTATCTCTCTGAAATTTGTCTGAGAATTGCTAAGATCTGTTTATCAAGGTTTTATACAAAATACTCCAAGGTTTAGGGCTATGTGACTCTGTACAGAAAGAAATAACTTGGTGCAGAGTCTAGAACACAAGAAAGGGTTTTCTCTCAGTGTCTCTCTGCCAGAAAACCAACTGAATAAATACATGGAAAGATGAGGTCTCATTTATCATGTGTTTCTAAATGAGTGTAAACATAGCAGAGTTACAGCTACTTTGGAAGAAGTTTCTAAAAACATGCTCCTTTCCAATCACTCAGCTTGTCTTGAGCAAACCAGGCCTGCAAACCAATTTCGCCATCACAGAGAGATGCTGTTATCAAGAGGTTAAGCAAGAGAATTCATACATAAAAATAAGCTGACCTGGAAAAAAATCAGACAGAGAGATAGCAATAAGTTGCAAGAGCTGAGCACTTCTTCAGTAGGTTGAAAAAGCATTGAAAAAAAATTCCTGCTACTGGTTAATCTAATATTACTGTGTCCAAGTCTTGAAGAGGAGAGGTTGGAAGATACTTTTAAATATTGTCCCAGTCTCACATAAGCATCATGTCAGCGGCATCTATAGCCACTAG